GTGTGTGTGTGTGTGTGTGTGTGTGTGTGTGTGTGTATAGATATTGCATGCAAATGTGGCTGTAATCGAAATCTCGTACCGACGTTCAGTCGCGAAGTCGCCGTGGTAGAAGTGTACTGAGCGCAGTTGAGGAAAAGTCGTCAGCGTCTCGATCACTACAGCAACATAGGAATAGTTTCATAATCAATCAAGCAGTGGCTATCTATCGCATTGTGAGGCAATTGTACATCTTAGACTACTAAGCCCAATCAACCCAAAACTTGGTGCATAGAGATCACCAGTGGGTGTTCAGATACACTAATCGTTCTGTAAGCACAACCTGTGAGAATGAAGGTAAGTTATATTGACAGTTGAGTCGATCTACGAGCACAACGAGACGGGCACTGGCGATGATTGCGCTGAATTTACATCCCTTTTAAGCAGCAAAGTTAAAGTTCAGTGGGTTTGTGGTAAGGTACTCAATCCAAAATAAATGTATCCTCTGCTACGAACCAGAAGATCCTCCATGTGGAATGGGGGCACAGAATACGAGTAATACTAAGTATATGACGCATTCTAAATGAATATAAAACCGCTGTAGTTCGCAACAGTCATGAGAAAAAACAGAATATGACAGCTGCATAGAGTACATTCTCTATACTAACCAGCACGCACATCTATCCCCATGCGATACATACCGAATGTCAGACACACCCAGTCGCTACCTACCTCTCCCACAAGCACTCGACACGTCGCAAACGCTCACACACTACTTGCATACACAGCAACGCCTACCAATGCTGAGCGTGACTGATTCCAAGCCACATCCCGCTTTACACATAGACTGCATACCGGTATCCAAGCAGCTGAGCGCTCTCATGTTGTGGAACTGTACACGCCGCAAATTGGGTAAGGCTACACACCGCAAGGCTGACGAACGCTTGTGCTTGCGGGTTGGTTCAGGTGTTTCTGTACTTCCTCCTCTGCTGGTTTGTGCGCTTTCACAAGTGTGTGTGCATGTACATACCCTCATGTTTGCACCTGTGGGTATGTCTGTACTTCTCGCCGTGTCTGTGTTTTCCCCATAGTGCACGTGAGTGTCAGTCACGGTAGGTGTGCCCATCACCCCGTACTTTGGCACATGGCTGAGTCTCAGTGCAGAGGTATCTAGGCTCGTGTATGACAGCATATCAGTCTCCGCAGGACCTCCTTCTATACACACCGCACACGTACTGGCCTCTCCCGCATCCCGCAAACACATGCCTACCGGTACATCTTTCAATCCAACTATATCTGGCACATACGTACCCGTTTCTGGTCCACCTTCAGCACCGCGAAACTTCCTCTCCTCAGCTGTGTGGCCTGGTTGGCCCATCCGGGCTGCCTGCACGGGTGTATGTCTCTGTACACAGCGAGCTGCCGAGGCTATGCATACGCTTTCCGCATGATCAAAGAGACGCTCACCACCACAGCCCAGCAATTCACTGACAAACGGTGTCTTCAGTTTGAGTGTGTGTACATATGCGCCACTGTGTAGGAAAAGAATGCTCTGTACGTCAGTGTGTGATTTTTCCGAACTGTTTCGAAGCAGGTCAACTCGTGCATGCGATTGCGCACGCCTATGTGTATGTGTAAACTACGTGTGCTGCCAAACCACATACCAATAAAAACAACAGCAGATACGGTGTTCAAATACGTCGACGTACTCTCATAAAAAAATCATAGAATATCGCTTGCAAGCTCAGGTCAGCTAGTCAGATCGGATTGGACTCTAACGGGAATTAAAGACCCTAAATTGTGAATGTTGAGCTTAGATGTATACACTACCAAGACTTAGCGCCCTCAGCAATTCCAGGTTCAATAGATTATTTTGTTGTGAGCGAAGTAGCCTGTTAAATCCTGACAACTCATCTAG